GTTTAATATGAAAAAGTATATGTAAGTAGACGTTTTACATCAAGTATTCTAGCGAAAAAAGACTCTCGAAACCCGATTAGTGAAAGAAAAAAAAAAAAAACTGTTAATATTAAAAAAAAAAAAAAAAAAGAAAGTATCAAAGTATTGTTTGTAGGGAAAAAAAAAATAGCGGCAGGTTATATACAAAGAAATGCATACATATATATGCTACGTACGTAATGGTTATTGTATCAAGTATGTGATAATCACGTCTCTCAATAATCATGTCACGTGGGTACATGGCTTTAGCCATCCCCCAAATTTGATTGGTCAATTGGCATATCAAGCCCTCTTAATAAATGATCAGCAAAAATTTTAGCATACAATACATACAGTACGTACAGTAAAGTACGTATAGTACTGTACGTAGCACATCACTATCAATAACAAATAATATAAATAGTATAGTGGTATTATATATATACATATAATAACTTATAAAATATATATAGTATATATATATATATAGGAATATTTATATAATATTATATATATGTGTGATTTCACCCAGGGGGTAAGTTAGCAATAGTCAAAAATTTAATATACAATATAATATATTAATCTATTTAATTTAGGTTTCATGGAGAATCACTAAAGCCAGATGATCTTGAAAATGTTATCATTCCATATATTCAAAATATCTATTCATTTGAAACTGCGGCACATGTAAGTGTAATATTTATTAAATTATTAATTCTAAACTTTTTTTTATTTATACAAAAATTTTTATTAAAGATATTTGGAGTAATACAAAAATATATTACCAAAGTTGATGAATTTTCTAGTTTATTGTTGTGGGCATCTGTTAAACATTCAAGCCCAATTAGTTGGTGGAAATCGAATTTTTCAAATAAATTTCCTTCCGTGGTTGAACTTGCCTGCCAGGTTCTTTCTGTTCCAGCTTCTTCGGCCACAGCAGAAGGTTGCTGGTCTAACTTTGGGTTTATTCATAATAAATATCGTGCACGTCAAGATAATGAACGGGTAAAAAAACTTGTTGCAGTCTATCAGAATTTGAGAATTCAAAAAGGAATTGAGATCGATGATTGGTTCGAAGATGATAATAACTGATAATTAATTTTATAATTATGCATTAAATTATATACATAAAAAGAGCGAACAAAAAAAAAAAAAAAAAGAAAATATATATATATATATATAGTTAAGCAATTGCGCATTTCTTGTAATTAATTATATAATAACGAAAGTTTATAAAATAAATATTTTTTCTTTAAAAGTTATCTCTATGAAATTTGGTGAATCGGTATTTTAGCCTAAACTTTAATTTTTAGTCTCAGCGCCAATTGTTTTAAAAAGTTTTTTAAAAAGTTTTAAAACACCTAAAAAACTGTTTAAAACGTTTTTTTTCCATCCCTACATATAATCCTAATATATCTTAGTAATTACCTATCTAAAATCGATGGAACTTTTTTATTTAATTCTATGGATTCATATAATTAAAATAAAAAATTTCTATCAATTTTATATAGGTGGTTATCTAGTTATCGCTCAAAGGTGGTAAAAACTTAGCCGCATTCCTTGTTTTAATAATTGCTAAATTCCAAAAAATATATGAGAGAAGTCGATTCCCAATAGAAAATTTGCAAACTAATATCTGATGAATCATTTCATAATCAAAATAATGTTCATTATTAGAGATTGTACCCGCCAAAAAAATCTCTACCCGGGTATTATTAAATTACCGGTAATTTATTATAATTATATAATAAAAATGTCTATCCGGGTATAGTCTCTATTCATTATTGAGGTTAAGTTAACTTTATTCAAGGAATTTTTTATTAACGTATATTTAGAGAACCACTTTAAATTTAATTCAGTAATTATAAAAAGATCCGAGATTACAATTAAAATATTATAAAGTTTCTACAACTCTTACCGGATACTTATTTTTAATAAAATGAACGGCAAGCACAATTACTGCTGTAAATAATATAAGTCCAGCAACTCCGCCAATTACACTCCAAATAATTGCACCAATACACATAGACGAAGAATTTGAAGAGGTTGATGAACTTGAAGAATTTTAAGAATTTGGAGTGGAACTAAGTGCTGATGATGAATTTGAAATGGGAGTGACCGTGGTAGGATTAAATGTTGTAACCCATTTATAATTATCTTCTTGACTTATATCAAGAAGATAAATCCCAGATGTGGATGAACCATTTGGATTATATCCTAAAATTTAATTATTAAATTAACACATTTAAATCAGTGAAAAAAAATTATATACAATACACACCAAATGCAATAAGAACATGAATTCAAATTAACGTAGAAATATTCTTATTCAAGCCTGGTTGAGGGCCTCCAGTATTTGAGATAGTAGGAATAGACTATGAGTATGTCAAAGTGTTTAAAGTAATAATTGAATGATCAATTGAAGTATTTACAGATCCATAAAATATTAAAATCTGATTAAATTGAGCTACATTATAATAACAAACAATTAATAAATTATGACTTGGAGTCATGAATATATCAGCTTTATACATCTAATTCAACATACAATAGTAGTAATCAATTCGGACAGAAAATTTTGCAAAGTTTGGGAAATACAGTCAAACCTCTTTATAATCACACACTTAGATACAAAAATGTGTGATTGTAAAGAAGTGTGACAGTTATAGAGGTCAAATTTAATATATTTTTAATAATAGTTTGTTTTTAAAAAAATATGCTTATAAAGAAAATGTGCTTATATAGGAGGTAACTATAGAGGTCTGACTGTATATTATCCGATCTTGATTGTTACTCTGTCGGAATCAGAGGTACAAATTAGATAATTAAAGAAATACATACAGATAAATACAGATGAATGATCGTATCGTATTAAAGGAATTTCACCCGAAGTATTCTGCAATAAATTAAGTTATACTACAAATTTGTTGAATTTAATTATATGCGGTAATAAGAAATATATGACTTACAACTACTCTCTATATATTGTCTATGGTACTATACATTGCCAACTGCATATTTATGCCAAGTTATGATTAAATTCATTATATGATGTAAAAAAAATTTTATTGAAATCAAGACAAACCTGCTGCATGGTGTCGGTTAGACCACACCCAATGTACAAAATCGAATTGTTTAATAATGTTGCAGTATAACATTGTGAATGAGGAGGTATTAATAATGGTGTAAATTAGTCCAAACCAAAGATGAAGTATTCAGAATAAAAGTAGAATATCCACTGTAAACATATATTCTACCATTTAAAGCAACACACGGAACATTAGGTTGTGTTCTTTTTGTAGAAAAATTTTCTGAATTAGATGACGTGCTATATATTTGTGTCGTTGTGTCATAAACATTGAGAAAACTTCCTCCAGCACCACTTTGCCCAGCAATAAAACAAATAGAAGTATTGCTGATTGAGACCGTTTTGCTAAATTTGCGACTGAAGAAAGGTCTGTCCACGCATTGATGATACGTCATCTATGCTAAAAGATTTTGAAACATCGAGATAAAATAATTGACCGGAAGCAAAAACAGAAGTACTTTGAGGTCTAAAAGAAAAATTACCACCATTAAAATAGATTTTATCATTGAGAAGAACAGCTGTATGGTCTCCTCTTAATTGTGATGTGAATGCTCTTATGCAATTATAAAGATTAAATACATAAATAGACAGAAAAATACGTAACAGAATCATTTTACACCAGAAAGCTTAAAAAACAATGAATCCGTGTTTAAAAGTTACGTACGTACAGTACGTACATATCTAACTAAATATTACGTGTCTCGAAAGTTCATTTTGAAGAATAATATGACTATACATGGGCTTGATTTACATATAGTCATTGATTTTTCTATAAATAATTATATTTGTAATATTTTATTCATTTTTGGTTAGACACAAAAATATATAATTTGACATATAATTTTATTTTCCCAAATTAATACAGAATCAATCAATACGCATAACTCACAACATAGTAATTGGACCAAATACAGCAATTACAAGCTCTAAAATCATAAACTTTAAAGAAATAATTTTTCTGTTACATTAGATTAGAATAATAGATTATGAAGGATATTTAGCAACTGAATTCTACCAATGCTTTTATTTTTTGAAGCTAATAATAATAATAATAATAAAATTGAAGTAACCCTCGTTAGAGACCCGTAAAAACATGTTTGTTGTGCTTTTTAATGGCTTTTTTAAGCTGTTTCCCTTCTTTAAGGCCAATATTATTATCAAGATTCAAAGAGATCAGTGTAGTGTTTTTGCACAGAGCCTTCGCAAATGTTTTAACTCCCTCATAACTTAGTCCGTTATTAGAGAAATTTAAAGCAATCAAAGTGGTATTTTCGCAAAGAGAAATTGCAATTTCTTTTCCTCCACCATCCTTGAGTTGATTAGTATCAAGATTTAAAAAGGTTAGAGTAATGTTGTCGTAAAGGACCCCTGCTATTAATTTTCCTACTTCTTCGTTAAGATTATTAAAACTAAGATCTAAGGAAGTTAAAGTAGTATTTACATGAAGTGCATCTATTATTGCTTTTCCTCCATCATATTCAAGTTGATTACCATTAATTTTTAGAGAAATTAAAGCAGTGTTTCTACAAAGGGCACTTGCTATCGCATTTCCTCCTTCAAATCCAAGATTATTACGACCAATATCTAAGGAGGTCATGGTGTCATTTTTGCCAAGCGCTTCTGCAAAAGCTTCCCCTCCATCTAAACCGAGTTCATTATCACTAATATTTAAGGAAGTTAAAGAGGTGTTTTTGCAAAGTGCTTTCGCTAATGCTTCTCCTCCTTCAGGTCCAAGAAAATTTTTACTAACATTTAAAGATTTTAGAGCAGTGTTTTCACAAAGCGCTTCCGCTAATAATTTTCCTCCTTGAAACCCTTCAAAACAATGTTGATTACCTTCAAGATCTAATGAAATTAAAGTTTTGTTCTCATGGAGGGCTTCTACAAGCACTTTTCCCTCTCTAAAATCGAATAAATTATAGCTAAGGTTTAAAGAAGATAGAGTAGTATTTCTACGAAGAGTCTCGGCAAATGCCTTTCCTGCTTTCATGGCAAGATTATTATCAAAGATGTTTATGCCAAGATTATTATCAGAGATGTTTATGCCAAGCTTATTATAAGAGATGTCTAAAGAGATCAGACTAGTGTTGTTGCAGAGTGCTTCTGCAATTGCTTTTCCTCCTTCAGGACCAAGTTCATTACGAGAAATGTCTAAGAATGTTAGATTACAGTTACTGCGTAGTGCTTCTGCTATAGCCTTTCCTTCTTCAAACCCAAGATTGTTATTTTTAAGAATTAAAGAAGTTAAAGTAGCGTTTCTACAAAGTGCCTCTCCCAATATTTCTATATCCTCAAGACTAAGTTCATTGTTTCGAAGATCTAATGAAACTAAAGTTTCATTTTTAAAAAGCGCCTCCGCCACATACCTAATTTCTTTAGAATCACGAATGTACAAATATTTAAGTTTCTTACTAGTCCTTAGAAACATAGTGATCAAAGGATGCACAATTCTTTGAGCAGCTAAACTTAACGAATCATAATCATTTTCTAAATCAAAAGAATCAAATCCTTCGTATCTAAGCCAATTTACTATTCCATTAAACAAATCATCATATTCGATTAACTCAATATAACTTGTATATTCAAATAATGTTTTTGGACCACTTGGAAGAACTATTTTAAATGGGATTAACTGTTCTTGTTCTTTAGCATTTAATGCTAAAACGAACATTCGAACAAGGTTTCCACTTTTAACATTTTTGTCGCCTGCTAAACAAGCTGATGGTTGGTTCCATAATACTGATACAGCATTTCTACACCATTGACGATTTACGAGAAGACATGCAAATAAAGATCCATGATTTTTCAAAAGATTTTTAAATATTTCAACAAGGCACTCGTTAGGTAATGGTATCATTTTAAATTGGTTAAAGATGATCAAATTATCGGAATTACGGATCATGTAGTTTTTAAATATAAAATGTCGTGTAACATTGATTATGTAAATAGTATCACATATATAAACATTACGTATTTGGATTGTGTTAAAAAAAATCAACTGCAGGGATTAAAAATAATATAATTAAAAGGATTTTGATCAATCGTTAAGCGACGGCTTATAAAGGTATTTAATCTAATTAAACATGGCATATAATAAATATAAGATTTTTACGTAATATAGATAAAAACAACTTAGAACAAACGAAAAGGCTTTTACTTATTATTATCTATTATTAAAAATTAAATTTAAAATAATTTATTTAAAATAAAAATTATTTAATTATGTATTAAAGCTAATTATGTAATTATATCTTAAAATGCTATTTTTTAAAAATATAAATTATTATATTAATCTTTTAAAATAATATTTATTTTACAAATGCTTAAATAAAAAAATATATAGATTTGAAACTAAATTTTTTATATTGTTTTATAATAAAAAAAAACATATATATAATTATTATGTTGAAATTATGAGGCAAGCTTAAATAAAATTAAATTTTGTTATCAAAAATTAGACCAATAATAAGGCCATACAAACTTAATAATTCGGTTTTCATAACATAAAATTTTCAAAAGTGACCCAGCAACCCGGCTTTTAATTTTATTTTCAAAAAATTTTATATATAAAAAACATATAAAATTTTTTATAGATTTTTTTAAAAACTCACCCGGATAGTAAATATACATGAAATTTTTTTAAAAAATTTGTAAGGTTTGACCCGGCCAGGTTATGAAGACCGAATCATTAAGTTTGTATGGTCTAATTAAAATTTGATAACAGGTTTTTCTTGACAATACTCATTTCAGTTTTAATCAGACATTGCATAAAATATATACATAGTATATATAATTAAAATTAAAATTCATATTATGTAAGTTTATTTGTTTATATAAAATAAACAAAAAGTTTATCAGAATACCAACAATATTATAGTTTATTTAACATTCTTTTGGCTAATTTTGTCATTGAGAAATAAATTCATAACATATAAGTTTAATCTGTTTATATAAAAACTAATGAAAGGCCTATTTTTATAATTAATTTATTTTTCGTAATTTCTGAATATTATTAATTTGTTAATATAAAAATAAATAAAAAACCTACCAGAAATATTAGTATCTTTATAGTTTAATTTGTTATTTTTTGCAATTTCTGAAATTTTTTTTTTGTTAGTGTGTGGCTAATTTGTTATCAGAAAAAAAATTTATATTATGCAAGTTTAATTTGTTTACATAAAAGACCTACTAGAAATATTAATACCTTTAAAATTAACTGGCCTTTTGCCTTTTTTAGATTAACTTTTACTAATAAAACTATAATTTTCTTCAAACAAAGAAATAGCAGAATCATTGTCAGAGTTATTAGTTTATGTTCATTTTTGAAAAATCTTCTGGAAGATCAATTTGACACTTTTTGCCTTTGCTAATTTGTTATTGGAAATAAATTACCTTGCTTGTATATTCTTTCACTTATATTTTTTCATCATAAATTGTCTTTTTCATATATTTTTATACCATCATATTTTTTAATCATATATAATAGGTTATAAGCAAAGGAATTCTATTATCAAAAAGACTATCAAAAAGTCAAACAATTATAATTTAAAAAATCGCAACTTTAGACCTTGTAATTGTGATATTTATAAAAGTAAACTTGTTGACTTCTGAACAAAAAAAGCATATATGATAAAAAAGGAAATTCCAGCAAGAAATTTTCTTGATATTGGAAATTCTTCAAACAAAGTAACCACTACAATTGATCTTCTGAAAGTAGAGATTAACCTTCCAGAAGTGGACCTTAACCTTCCAGAAGTAGACCTTGACCTTTTAGAAGTGGTTCTTAATCTTCTAGAAGTAGACCTTGACCTTCCGGAAGACCTTTCAGAAATGGACATACAAACTGATAGCTCTGACTATGATTCTGCTATTTCGTTGTTTGAAGAATATTATAGTTTTATTAGTAAAAGTCAATCTAAAACAGGCAAAAGACCAGTTGAAAGAAAGAGAAAATCACAATATCCTTTAATAAAAGGTGCCTTATTTTCTGACGAAGAAGAAAATTTAGTCAAAGATCCTTTAAACTTTGAGAATGAAGAATTAACTAACCAAGAAATTGACTTTGGCTTACTGGAGGCATATGAAAATATAGAGATGCCTATAGAACTAGTAGACCTGAATAAAGATTGTTTTTTTTATATATATATATCTATTGTTATTTATTTATTTATTATTATTATTATTATTATTTTTAAATAAAAGTTTTTTGTAGATTGTCTTTTGGGTTCTCAAAAACCAAAAGAGGTATTGGCAATCCAAAGTGGAAACTGATTCTTTAGTGAAGTTTCTTCATTATCTGCTGATCTTTGAGAACAAAAAAAAATATTCCTCTTTTCCTACTTTACTGAAGATGGCACATAAGGCTCTTGGTGTCTGTACTTATATAATTAAATATACAACATATAAGCAATGTTGTAAATTATACAGCATAAACGTGTATCAACTGACAAACTCAATATGGTTTCTAAAGTAAGCTATTGCATTTTCCAAAACTTTCCGAACCATCCAATGGTTAATATTTTTTTTTTTTTTTTTTTTTTAAAAAAAAAAAAAAATTAATAATTTTTTTTTCTTTTTTTTTTAAAAAAAAAAAAGCAATTTTTTTTAAGCCTAATCAAAGATGTCCATGTAATAATTACATTGCAAAAAAAGTATACATAAGCAATGAAATTATATATCAGCCATTATTAATATTTCTAACAGTCTTTTTAAAACACCAACTGCAATTATTGTATAACTAAAAAGGTTTTGAAAAGTCTTGTAGAAAGTGGGCAGAGAGGCTTAACGATCCTGAAAGACTTACTGACATATATAATAGAAGAATTTAAAAGACATTTCAAAACCCAAATGAAGATTTACCATTCTTCTGAAAAGACCTATCAGATAGTAATTTGGGTTTAATAATTAACCTAGATTGGTTCCAGCCATTCAATAACTCTCAATATAGTATCAGAGCTATATATTGCATTGTTTATAATCTTCCACATGATGAGTGATTTAAACCATCAAACATTATTATATTGGCATTAATATCTGGTTCCAATAAGCCCAAATTATACCAGCTAAACCATTATTTGGCACCTTTAATAGATCAATTAATTGATCTATAGAATAGTAAGCAACAACATTTAATATCGGCTATATTTATATTATTATTGTTTTTTTTTTTTTTAGTGTTAAGGTGACCTCTATGGCTGGGGGCTTTTTATTAGATAATTAACAATATTTACAATTATGATGAAGGTACAACTAGCTATATATACAATTTTTGATTGTCTATTTAAGTAGTCTGTCCAAGGTTCCACACTAGCTACTATACCTGCAACCCAACTAGGGGATTATCTATTTAAACTCTCTAGTCACAACTGGCCCATCATTTCTTATCTAACCAAGGTGTAACTCACTATTTATATGCTAGATTTTATGATACCTATAGATTTCACACCCTACCTAGAACTACTTTATTTTCAAGGTAAACCTAACAGAGTGGTACATGTTTCATACATGTATTCACCTGCATGTTCAGTAACTTTTTTCTAATCTAGTACCTGTTGTGTTACCACCACTGAGTTCATATCTCAAGCTATCTTTTAGAATACTGCTGTAACCCCGATCTGTATCTCAAACTACAACCTTTCTATTTTAGTAGTTGTTATATACTCCTTGCCCTTGTATTTAGGTTCACACAACCCCAGCATCCACATTTGAGCTTTCTTTCTTTCCTGGATTCTTTATTGGTCTCTCCCTTACTTCTAGCTAGCAACCCGGAAGGGTTAGTTTATTTAGACTTTAGGTGTCTATATGGTCTTCTTTCCCTTGGTACATGCTTCTAGAGTACATGTCTTTTTCTTCTGGTTTTGGTGGCCTGGCGGGTCAGCTGGTATGTCCTCCCACTTAAGGACCTGGTCACTTGGTTCTCCGATCTCAGTCCTCAGTTCCAAATTCAGTTTTTCTGTAGTACTATTAAAGATTGTGCAACATTCTAACTCAGGACTTGCTAAACGAGTTTTCAGTTCTTCTGGTATCTCAGATTTATTACGCCAAGGCTCTTATTCTAGATAGTGTGACCAAGATTACAAATTTCTAGATTCTACCAATCGTCAAATAGCCGTTAACCATATCATAAAGCTATTTTTCGAAAACATCATCTGTGGAATTCGAACTTTAGACCTGCTATCTGGGGGTGTGACAACTCCACTACTTCACTAAGTCACCACACCCTTTTATATTATTATTGTTATTATTACTATATATTATTATTATTATTATTATTATTATTATTATTATTATTATTATTATTATTATTTTTATTATTATTATTATTATTATTATTATTATTATTATACATATTATTATTATTGTTGTTGTAAGTATTGTTCTTATTATAACATTATTATTAACTAGGAATTGAATTGGCAAGCACATTCGAAAGCTCTATCAGCAAATGTATTAGAACAGCAGTAATGTTGTTTTTGTGACATTCTTGCTGCAAGAAAATTATGTAGTTATATTTCGGCTCAAATTGCTTGTTATAGGTGTTTAAAGAGGGCCAATTTTAATGATAGTAATTAACCCAACTTTGGTGGTTTCGTTGATATGAATGAATGATTCATTGAAAGAAATATTGACAAAATTTGTCATGATGCTATCACGTGAAAAGATTGTAATACTGAAGATGCTAGGAGAAAACATATATTAAAAACTTTGGTCTATTGATCAGAAATTCATCACCTTCCTTACTTTAATTCTTTCCAGTTTCTTGTAGTCGATCCAATATATTGCCTATTTTTAGGCATAGCTAAATGGATTGTTAAATTATGGATTAATGAAGGTTTTTTTTATTATTATTATTTTTTATTATTATTATTTATTATTATTATTATTATATTTTTCTTTTAAGAG